TTGTGGGAATGCCAAGACAACACAATCATGAATCAACATTCCTCCTTATTGTGGGCCCTCCTTGGCCACGTCATAGTTACTGGCAGAACTTTCAATTCTTCATTAAGAGCTTAATCCTTATAGATTTAATCAAAAACTTATTATCTAGTCCTTCTCAAAGACTTAATAGATAAAGTTTTCAACTTTATCCATTAGTACCTCACCCCAAATCAATATCTACTACCTAAGTCCAAAATGGCATAAATCCTTCACAAAACATGCATGGCTCCAAGGACAAGATCAAGTTACCAACTTTCCAACAAGAAATGGTCCAGAAGACAATCGTGAGTGCTTAGAAGGGGCTAGAGGCATCTCAACTCCAAGCACACCACCAAAAAGGGACCAAAACCATAAAAATGGACAATAAGCTATATCTAACAAACTAGAAGTAAAGCTTGAAGGTTTATACTCACAAGAGTCCATAAATGAAGTCAATTTTCTAGATCTACAATTGATCTCTTCACCAAAAAACTTTGCTTCAAGTTCCACACCAAAACATGAGAAATGAGCCTTCAATTGGCCAAGAACATCAAGAACAACTCAGGAACACTCAATGGGATAGGGTTTCGAGATAGGAGGGTGAAGACCGAAGAGAATGAACTAACCCTAAAGTTAAGGACCTTAAATATGGTAGAAACCATAAAAAATCATGGGGTTGGGCTACAGCAGCCACTACGTCGTGGCAACCCTCATGCCACGTTATGGAGCTCACTAGAATTACATTATTCATAAAATTCATCCAACGTCATGGTCATCCATGAACCTGTTTTGGCATAGGGTTTTCTCCAAAAAAACCATCTCTAATCCCATTATGTCTTTAGTTGATCCATTCTAGAAAACGGGTGTTACAACAACACTGGATCCGAGAGCCTTGGCTGCATGCATTGTATGTGTATTATGATATGTAGTATTTTGTTGAACTCACTAAGTTTTGTGATAACAATTAAGGATTAAATATTTTCAAGTACTTTTGTTGTTTGATTGAAGGGCCCTGCTTGACTGTACCGCACACACATTGTTGTTGATTTAATGAATTAGACTTTCGTTGTTTTTATCGTGATTCTCATAAATTTTAGAGTATGGTTTAATGTGGCCAAAACAATTCGTTACCTTGGTATTTTATGAAAATTGGTTTTAGAAAATCTTCTTTCACCTTTTTAAAAATGAAAATTTTGGATTAAAATTTAGGACATTACAATTTTGTATCAGAGCACTGGTTTGAGGAATTTTGATTAACACTCGTGTGATTCAAACTACGCTATGAACGATTTTACTATCCTTTTTGGAAACGAATTTCATACAAAGGAGAAATGAAAAGATATACATTCAGTAGGCGCTCATAAAGGAAAGTGATTCATAAAATATCCGTACTTTTTATATTTGTTGATATCTAATATGTTATAAATTCACATTAGTATGCGGGCTAATGATCTTTTTAGGAATTTCATGTTAGAATTGTCTAATATTTATGATACAATGTTTCCTTAAATTTTCCTTGTTATGTGATGTCTGAAGTTCAAGTTGTTGGAACAAATGTCCAAGATCTATATATATAGGCTACGGATCTTTTTAGAAATTGCATGTTAGAGTTGTCTAATATTTATGATGCATTATTGCCTTAGACCTTGCTTGTTATGTGATGTTTGAAGTTCATGTTGTTGGAATAAATGTCATATATATATATATATATATATATATATATATATATATATATATATATATATATATATATATATCAATACGGATGTTTGTTTATAAATAAAATAATTATAAATTTTGATATATTCAGTTTTTTCAATAAAAAGAAAGTCTTAAAATGAAAAAAAAAAAAAAAAAAAAAAAAAAAAAAAAGGATACTGGTCTTGTTTGAATGATTTGAAAATATAAGTCTTTTTCTTGAAAAAAAATATAACAAAACCAAGAACAAATAAGTAATAGATAATGTAACACCCTGTTTGGATCATTCTGTGATTAAGGACTCGTGGGCCGTAAATCGATTATGTGAAGACTTTGGAGCTTCGCCAAAGTAAAGTTTAAGCCTTATTGAAGGTTGAACAGTTTGGTTGTAAGATCTAAGCTTTTGAATCGTGGGTGGGAACTGATATGTGTATTTTTATATATATTTTATGCATTATATCTTAATATTTTGACCTTTATTATTCTCTTTTAGAACTAAAAAGTACTCATAATGCTTTAAATTATGTTTTGCAGCTATTCGTTGTCGATAAAGCACAAAAGAAAAGACTGAAGCGGAAACCGGGCTTAGAAGCTAAAAGAAAAGAAAAATGTTGGAGGACCAATTACGCCCAGCGTAATTCCATTGTACGCTAAGCGTAATGACCAAAATCACATTACGCCCAGCGTAATTCTAGGTTACGCCCCGCGTAATGGCTGGCACCAGATAAGTTCAATCGCGTGTAAATCCTTGGTACGCCCAGCGTAATCTGACTTACGCCCAGCGTACGTAAGTCAGCTACAAGGGTTATAAAAGTCGATTTTCAGCTAACCAGAAGGGGGGATTCGATTTCTAACCTAATTTAGTCAATAATTAACTTCTGTTAAGCCGTTTTGAGGGTCTAGAAGGCGGCCAAAAGGCCGTTAAGCTAACGGGAGCGGAGATCGGAAGGGTTGGAGAGCGGATACGTGTCGGTAATCATATGGGCTGTTAACGTGACCATGTTTAGCATTCCATTGTGTTACTATTATGTATTTAGTTTCTGATTTGGGTGTAAAAACCTTTTACTTTGTGTTTATGATTGAATGAATCTTTGATTATTAGACTAATTGCTATATTGAATAGTTTGTTTGTGTTTAATTTATCTTGCCAAGCTTGTTAAAAGATCCTTACGTATTAATGATAATTATTTGCTGTTAATTGTTAAGTGAATTGAGTTGTATGAACATCTGCTCGATTGCTTGTCTCTTATGATTTTGATGACCATTGAGATTATAAGTCTAGGAATAACGAATGTGAAACTAGGATTAACTTGGGAATAAGTAAGTTAATGTGTGAGCCTTGTTTGATAACCATCAACAAGAGGTTAATTGAATGTCTAATTTGATTAACTATATTTACAAGTCTTGCTTGATACAAACTGAACACTAGGAAGCATGTTAGTTTAATCAATTGATCACTATTTGAATTGACTTGTTTGATAAATGATTAGTTATAGTGAACGCGAATCTAATCATTTTAGGAATTGGTGAACATGAATAAATGAATTTGTGTATGCAATTGTCTATGTTTTTAAGGTGTAATTTATCTAAACCAAAGTACCTGAAGAGATTTGCTTTCCTGTTAGTTTATCGAGAGTAGTTAATTAATTGTTAGTTTGAGATTTATTTCTTTATTCTTTTCGTGTGACCTGTAACCTATAATCAAATATATTAAATCAATCCACCGTTCCCTGTGATCGACACCCGACTTACCTAAGCTATACTGTAATCTGACTAAGAACAATGCCTATAAGTGCATAGTTAGTCTAAGTTTGTTAGGTTTTAAATATTAAAATTAGTGGGTACTTTCGTGCACATCAAGTTTTTGACACCGTTGCCGGGGAACGGCTTGTCATTAATTTAGTTTATTTGATTATTTGTTATTTTTTTTTAGTTAGTTTTTATTTTTATTTTAATTTTCGTTGATATCATTTCACTTGTCAGGAAGGTTCTTGTTGTTATTTGCAGGAATTTGGGATTGTACACATTGCTTGACTTTACTTTTTGTATGGGTTTCGAGAATGAAAGCAATTAGGGAATTCTTTATCTGATTAGCCTACTACTTTGTTGATTTGTCCAACTCAATCCATGAGGCGTAGTATAGCAAGGCGTATTGTGGTGGTTAAGTGGAAGACCGAGCTCTTACTGTTCTTGACTAGTTAGGTCACTTCTTGTTCCGCTTCTAGTTAAAGGTGCAAGGAAAACAAGGGAAATATTCTAACAGGTCCCGAAAGTGGATGTCTTCGCAAACAAATTCTTGCATGCAAAGGTTTTTTTATCAACCGTTGTTGTTTGATCTTGACAAAGATAAGTGATTATGACGTCTCAGTTTTTTTTATCACTCATCGTGAAGTCATCAGTTGCTGAAGTAATTAAAAAAAGAAAAATAATTAATAATAAGTCCTTAAATTAATTAGTTAAAAGAAAGGAATTTCAATTAAGAAAAAGGGAAATTTTCATTTAAAATTACGCCCAGCGTAAGTTTGATTACGCCAAACGTAATTAACAACTGATCGCGTATGGATTTTCATGGAGCTGGGGTTACGCCCAGCGTAACATTGTTTTACGCCCAGCGTACATCAGCGACCAGGTATATCTCTTGACCCTTTGACTTCTTTGTTATTCTTTCAACCATTCTTTCCTTCGCACACGAACTGTGATGACAAACTCTCTCCAAGATTTTCGATTGTTCTTCGTTTCTTGTAAAATTCGACACACAAGTAAGTTTTTCAGTTACTCAATGTTATGCATTTGTGTTTTAATCGATGGAATAAGTTGCAAAATGCCTTTGTTAGAAATCTAGGGTTTATGGGGTTCTTGAATTAGGGCCGATTTCGCAAAGATATGTTATGAGCACCACTTGAATAGACCGATTTCTATCAATTAACTAAACCCTAGGACCTAATTTGGTTTTAATCCCATTCCACACCCATCGATTGAAGCTCGGGGACGTACGCCAAGCGTGCATCCTGTAAACTTCGATTGACTGTTCTATGCATTTTCTCTATTAAGGATTTGCTAACTTGGAATAGACAAGAAAGTTCCAGGGGATTGATTCTTAAAAGAGTTTCCATGTTAAGTGTTTGTTAATTTTAAATAGACAAGGAGATTACAGGGGATTGATTTTTAACGGAGGTCCCGTTTTTTTTATTGTCTTGAACCACGAAGTTTGATATGCCCCATATGTTTGCCTATTGTGTTTATTACTTACAGATTGGTTAATTTGAAAAATTGAGATATGGGATATGACTTTAGCACAAGTAAAGGAAGAAGAACACAGACTCGTGAACCTGGACGTACGCCCAGCGTACAGACCATACGCAACACTATTTTTTTTGGTTTAAAATTAATTAATGCTGCTATATTTTGTTTTGTTTTGTTTTTGTGCTTATTTGTGTAGATTATGGCCCGAAGAACTCAACGGACCAACCCACCCGAGGATGTGACCGATCACCATTTCTTACAATTTCCGCAAACTCTGAACGATGCAACCCGGGCACGATATGTCGCCAATTTGAGCTTGCTTCTCACCAAGGAGATCGATATAGCACCATCATTCGACTGGGAATTGGCTACCCGGACTGGACTTGCTGCATTGATCCAGGAATTTTTGCAATACACGCACTCGGACGCGAGTGGTGTGGACTTGTTCGTGTGTTAGGGATGGGCACGTTTGTTCCAGATCCAGGAGCCTGTTTATCGGGAATTTTTGCTGGAGTTTTACGCTACAGTTTCCTATGATCCTAGGAAGGCACCCGATGACAGGACATCCTTTGCCTTTAGACTAGGGGGAGTGAGCCGGGAATGCAGCGTGATAGAGCTTGCGACTCGAGTGGGTATTTACACAGCCGATGAGACGAGGAGTGTCCACTTCCCGACATTCCTTACTGATTGTCTTACGGAGCGGCCAGATGACTATAACGAGAACACTTTTTGGGCCGATATTACAGGGGCAGTTTATACACCATCTACCGCATGAGGGAGGATGATTCGGTCTACTACATACCGAATGTTGCACCCGTTGATTTCCATGACTTTCACGCACCACAAGAATAGTGAGAGAGTGCCTTCGACAAACTTGTATTTCCTATGGGTGCTTGTTACTCCAGGGAGGCACCTGAACCTTCCAGTTGCTTTAGCTGCATATTTGGGAAGGAGGGCCAGGGGACTTCGGGAGGATAGCTCGATTTGCGAAGGGCATTTTATCACGCGATTAGCTCGGTCATATCAGTTGCTGACGCGTGAGATCACGAGATCGATGGTGTTCCACGACATGAGGCTGATGAGTCTTCAGCTTTTAGAGTCGATGCGTGTATTGGAGCGGGGTGGAGATGGTGTCTTGAGAGTACGCGGATGATGTGGCGGATGAGGAGGGTACAGTTGAGCCATAGCCGAGACGGGTCCAATGGCGTAGACCTGCTCCTCGGGGAGTGCAGCAGGGACCTGAGCCGGAGATTGATATGCGCTACCTGGATCAGGGCATTGACCGTCTTGACATGAGGGTCCAGAACCTTAGTGAGTATGTTGCACATGTGGACAGGCAACAGCAGTGGCATGGGGATGCATTGAACGCATTCTTTGCCCACCAGGGGTTTCAGTACTCGGTTCCCTATCCTCCACCATTCCAGTCACGATATGATGAGGTTGGTACTTCTGGGACACAGCAGCATGATGATGGAGATGATGAGTGATTTAGTTATCCTTTTTATTTTATTTTTTATTTTTATTAGTTTAGTTTAGTATTTTTATTTGGTGTGTAATTAATTTTTAATTTAGTTTGTTTTACTTTTGTTTTCCATGTTGATGCTCTTTGGTTGTTTAGATCTCTGCAGAATTTTTGCTCTTAGAAAGCTGGCAGTAAGTTCAGCAGCTAGGTCCGACTGTTGCTAGAGAGAGCTGTGTAAGAGTTCGAAGATTATAGTCAAGACCCACAATTTGTCATAAGTGTGGGGTGCATATTTATTTCAGTTTTATTTCGACGCAAGGAAGAAGTATCATCCCGGCTGCCACGATATGGTTGACATTTTCCTATGTTGTGGGGGAGTTTTTCATCGCGAGAAGAGGATGCCATTCTTGACGAGACGATGTGGTCGACACTTTCCCACATCATGGTTATTATACATTGCATTTGTTTGCAATCTTTTGCACCACATTTTTGAAGTCGGCAGTCTTGATTTTATTTTTCGGCAATGTAAGAAGCAGCAGTTCCAGTTCCAGTCTTTCAGCAATATTTGAAGCAACTTGTAGCAGCCTCATTCGATCTCGCCACAACTACCCAGGGGAGTCTGTTCCTTTTTCTCCCTTTTTATGTTCTTAATTTGTTTTAGCATACAATGAGGGCATTGTATGAAATAAGTGTGGGGTAGGGGGTCGGTAAAAGTAAATTATAAAAATGAAATAATAGTTGGAAATTGCTAGATTTAGGGAAATTTAAAAATTTAAAAGAAAACTTGAAATAATAGTTTAATTTAAAAAATAACTTGTGATAATTTAAAATTTTGATAATATTGTATGAAATGATCCGATGAGAACTCAAATGTTTAGTTGAGCCAATATACGTTATAGTGCATTTGTGGCTTCCCTTATTTTAGTGAAATCATGAACAAAAACATAACCCCGCTTGGTTTGAGGATGCAATATGTTTAGCAGCCTAAACCTGAAATGTATCCAGGAAAATTATTATCATTAACCAATAAAGGTTGAGGTTGAGCGCCTCTGCTTAAGCATGTAGGTTTTGAGTGAAAAAAGAGAGGTACATGTAAAAAAAAAAAGAGAGAGAGAGAATTACGAGTAAAGTTTGAAGAATTTTGGAGCAAATAAAGTGAAGATCAAAAGATCAAAATTCCAAGAAATTCAAAAAGTTGAAGATACCAAGAAATCAAATCAAATAAGGTGGTGAATTCAAAGAAATCAAAGATCAAATTATCAAGAAAGTGAAGAATTCCTAAAAAGCTCCATAGTGGTATCATAAATTGTAATTCTAGATTATGTATGCTTAGGTTGCTCAACTAAAAATACCTTGAGGTTAGGAGGTTTTCTGCGGATGGATTCGGAGGGTTGCATAAAATGAGCATTGTTCGGAAAAAGTGGGCAAGTGTTTATGAAGATTGTGAGTATTTAAAGTATGGGGGGTACTTTAGGAAAATTTTAGATACAAATGCATGCGTTGCGGTCTTGACATAATGGCTGAGTTTTAAACGGATTGTTTAGTGCGATATTGGTAAAATAAAAGTAAATTTGCTTGGGGGCAAGCAAAGGCTAAATGTGGGGTATTTTGATATGTGTATTTTTATATATATTTTATGCATTATATCTTAATATTTTGACCTTTATTATTCTCTTTTAGAACTAAAAAGTACTCATAATGCTTTAAATTATGTTTTGCAGCTATTCGTTGTCGATAAAGCACAAAAGAAAAGACTGAAGCGGAAACCGGGCTTAGAAGCTAAAAGAAAAGAAAAATGTTGGAGGACCAATTACGCCCAGCGTAATTCCATTTTACGCTAAGCGTAATGACCAAAATCACATTACACCCAGCGTAATTCTAGGTTACGCCCAACGTAATGGCTGGCACCAGATAAGTTCAATCGCGTGTAAATCCTTGGTACGCCCAGCGTAATCCGACTTACGCCCAGCGTACGTAAGCCAGCTACAAGGGTTATAAAAGTCAATTTTCAGCTAACCAGAAGGGGGGATTCGACTTCTAACCTAATTTAGTCAATAATTAACTTCTGTTAAGCCGTTTTGAGGGTCTAGAAGGCGGCCGGAAGGCCGTTAAGCTAACGGGAGCGGAGATCGGAAGGGTTGGAGAGCGGATACGTATCGGTAATCATATAGGCTGTTAACGTGACCATGTTTAGCATTCCATTGTGTTACTATTATGTATTTAGTTTCTGATTTGGGTGTAAAAACCTTTTACTTTGTGTTTATGATTGAATGAAGCTTTGATTATTAGACTAATTGCTATATTGAATAGTTTGTTTGTGTTTAATTTATCTTGCCAAGCTTGTTAAAAGATCCTTACGTATTAATGATAATTATTTGTTGTTAATTGTTAAGTGAATTGAGTTGTATGAACATCTGCTCGATTGCTTGTCTCTTATGATTTTGATGACCATCGAGATTATAAGTCTAGGAATAACGAATGTGAAACTAGGATTAACTTGGGAATAAGTAAGTTAATGTGTGAGCCTTGTTTGATAACCATCAACAAGAGGTTAATTGAATGTCTAATTTGATTAACTATATTTACAAGTCTTACTTGATACGAACTGAACACTAGGAAGCATGTTAGTTTAATCAATTGATCACTATTTGAATTGACTTGTTTGATAAATGATTAGTTATAGTGAACGCGAATCTAATCATTTTAGGAATCGGTGAACATGAATAAATGAATTTGTGTATGCAATTGTCTATGTTTTTAAGGTGTAATTTATCTAAACCAAAGTACCTGAAGAGATTTGCTTTCCTGTTAGTTTATCGAGAGTAGTTAATTAATTGTTAGTTTGAAATTTATTTCGTTATTCTTTTCGTGTGACCTGTAACCTATAATCAAATATATTAAATTAATCCACCGTTCCCTGTGATCGACACCCGACTTACCTAAGCTATACTGTAATCTGACTAGGTACAATGCCTATAAGTGCATAGTTAGTCTAAGTTTGTTAGGTTATAAATATTAAAATTAGTGGGTACTTTCATGCACATCAGGAACCAAGGGTGAACTAGGGAAATATGGGTGTCAAACTGCTTGCAAGGATAATAGTTTTGAGTTCGACTTGCGTTACGCCAAATGTAAAAAGATAGGGTTGTAGAGCTTTTCAAGACCTTTCCTTGGGTATAAAGAACGCTAAAATTAGAGTTGGAACGAAGAAGTTATGGTTGTTCAAAGTTTAAATGAAAAGCGGGACTTTACAGGTGTAATTACACATGGTACAAACCTTTTTTTTTGGGGTTTGAGCCTTATTTAAGCAACTTAACTTTTGGAAACTCTCTCCATATTCAGCCTCCATCCTCTACAAAGCTTCATCTTGAAACATAAGCCCCGTTTGTGAAGATTTTGAGCCTCTGTATTGTTTATCACTGTTTTTGGGTACATCTTGAAGAGGAAAAGGAAGTCCACCATTGAAGCTTAGTGAAGCTCATGCTCTTGGATCTTGAACTCTTTTGTCACTCTTCAACCTCAGGAGGTATAAAGCTTGAATCTTTATCATTCATTTTACTAGATATAGAATTGGCTCATGTTTTGGCTATGTCTTGGTTCCATGACTTGGATCTTGTGAGTAGAAGTTACTCCAGAACATTTGAGCATCACTTCTGGTCATTTTGAAGTTATTAAGTAATAAAAATTGGATCTTAGTGGTTGCATTTCACCCATGCATGAGTTGTTAACTTTTTTTTTATGAAGTTATGGACATAGGGCTTGGTGTTCTCCATTAAGCCATGAAAAAACTTAAAGTTGTCAACTTTATTAGTTAAGACCTTTTTAGGAGTTAGATCTGAGTAGTGGATGAGTTCTCTTAAAGGATTATGCACTCACGGTGGAGATTTGGACATCAACGAGTTGCGTTGGGCATACCATATTGGTAGGTTGCGCGTAACAGGTTTCAACCCAATTCCATTTATTCGTTTGAGCATACGATGGGCGTGCTAGGTTGATACGTGGGGCCTACTAGCTAGAAAACCATTTGGGCCATTTTTTGGGCCTTGGGTCATTTTAGGTTTGAGCCATGGTTAGATGAGTCAATTAAAGGAATGGTAAATGGTTTTTTAGAAAACTTTTTGATAAAGTCATACTTTTTTAACAGAAAAGTTTCATTACCTTGAAAAAAATCATATAATCTATCATTTCATATAAAAATTTAAAAGAAAAAAAAAAGTTAATTGGGCAAAATATTAAATAATCAGGACTTTTATGTTAAAGGATTTTAAAACTTTATAAAAAATCAAAATAACAAAAATTTTCTACATAAAACT